TGGGGGTGGTGGTGGTGGTGGTGATGGTGATGTCATCAACGAAAGTTTAATTGTTAAAATCAATATCGAAACTTTTTTTTTTTTTTAATTACATTAGGGTAAATGAAAAAGGGTCAGAGAGAGAGAGAGAGACAGAGAGGAAAAGAAAGTAATTATTATTATTATTATTTAGTAATGGAAGAGAGTAATAGTGAAATTTGATAAATTAATCAATTAAAATTTTTTTTAATTTGGTATAATTAAAAAAAAATAAAGTAATTAAATTAATAAAAAAAAATTAAATCGTTAAGTAAATCGTTGTGAGCACGGATTTAATTTGCATTCATCAAACAAAGACAAAATGAAATTTTTTTTCTGTTGTTTTTTAAGAGGCCCCCTCCCCCGAAATTAAAATTTCAATCCGAAAAAAAAAATGTTTTATTTATCCGATCGAAAATTTTAAAATGAAACATTTGGTTCTTTTGTTTTCGAAGGGAGGGGGGTGTAAGGGGTTAGGGAGAAGTGGTCTCTGTGGTACAATATGTAAATCTTTTCCGCCGTTTAACGCCCCCCCCCCTTGAGAGCGATAATTCAAAACAGAGGGTAATTTTTTCGATGTTAATTAATTATGAAGAAGTACCAATTGCGAAATTTAAATTGAATTGATTTATTATTTTAGTCGGAATTTAATGTCTCATTAACATCTTAAAGTAATTGAATTGAATTTCAATTCAATTCAAATTTTTTTTTTTTTTTACGAATTTATACGTCCTTAACAAAAAAAAATTTTTTTTGTTATTCAGAACGAATCATATTTTTTTTTAATTGTTTTTTTTTCTTTGCTAATTAAATTGAATTTTTATAATTGTTATATTTAAATTTCACCCCTCCCCTCCCCCTCTTCCTCCTCCTTCTTGCAATGGGAAATATTTAATTCGTGTGCATATATGTGTCGTTTTACTTTCTGGTAGCTAAACAAAGATGGAAATAATTAATTACTGTTAGATGATCGAATAAATAATTATTCACGTGATGATTTAACGAAAAATTAAAATGGGGGGCGAGGGGAGGGGAGGGGGTTCAGCAGAAGGAAAAACGAGCCAAAATGTGACGATTTTTTTTTTTTTTTTTTTTTTTTTTGCGTTTCGCTTATGTAATAAAAAAAAAGAGAGGAAAGGATGTAAATGCATGAATTTGTAATCAAAAAAACAACAAATTTCGTAACGATTGGGTTAAAAATAATTGTTTTTTTTCTCTCTCTCTCTCTCTTTCTCTTCTTTTTCCTCTTATTCTTTTTCTTTTTCTTTCTTTATTCGCGCTCATACGTATAGACTTCGAATTGGAATTCATTATTATTATTATTATTATTATTTAAATAATAATAAAATAATAAAAAGTCGTATGGTAAAGTTATAATCACTTTACGTCGGGATTATATTAGAGCGTTTTTTTTTTTTTTTTTTTGTTTCGTTTTGTTTTTGTTTTTGTCCCATTAATTTTTTTATGTCGTCTTATTTTATAAAAGATAAACACGCACTCACGCACGCACGCACACACACACGCACACGCACATTAGATTTTTTTGTTAGCTTCGTTGTTGTTGTTGTTGTTATTTTAGTGAATGTTATTGAAAAATGATTATGGAATCACTTATCGCGTATTATGCAAAGTTAAATTTTATTAATTTGTGTGCATTCATCATCATCATCATCATCATTACCATCATCATCATCATCATCATCGCGACATCAATACAAAAAGGAAATGATAATAATTTCGTCTTGTCTTTTCTTTCATTAAAATAATAATAATAGTTTTTATAAATAAATAAATAAATATAAGGGAAAAAATTGTAATAATAATAATAATAATAATAATAATAATAATAATAATAATAATAATAATAATAATAATAATAATAATAATAATAATATTTAGGTAAATGATTGAGATATTGAAATTCGTTCATCGTGAAATTATTATTATTAATTTTTTTTTTTTTTTTTGTGAAATGTCAAATGACGTATAACATAATAATGATATTTTTAAATTGTTTTTTTTTCGATCTGAAAGTATTTTTTATAATCACAACCGCTCCCCCGCCACCTCCTCCTCCTCCTCCCCAGTTATCATTTCGCGTTATTTTTTTATTAAAATTGTCATTTAAAAAAAATTACAAAAGGAAATTAATACGAAATTATAAGCCTTGATTCGTTCGTCATTTTGAGAAAAAAAGTACAAAAAAAAAAAAGTGCTGAGTTATGTACATTATTAGTGACACAGTTATTTTCGTTTCAAATATATTGAATTTTTATTTTAGTACACTAAATTCTTATTGACAATCGAAATCGTTAAAAAAAAAAGTAAAAGAAAAGTAAAGTAAAAAAAAAAAAAAAATAGAAAAAGTAAAAATTGTCATTCGAAAATCACAATCGCGTCACGAAAAATGATAATCATGTACGGTATTAAGGTGAGTTTTTGTGTGTTCAAGCATTGTTAAAAATCATTTCATAATTTTAAAATGGATTTTCCTTCTCCCTACCCCTTCCCCCCACACCTCTCCCTCCGGTACATAATGGCGTGGCGTTTCAATAAAAAAAATGGTAAAAATGAATCTTTTTTTTTTTTTTTTTATATTTTAGCAAAAATAATCTAGAATTTCTCTTACCTGTGTTGAACTTTATCGAGGTGAATAAATTATAAAAAAAAGGTGATTGATTGATTGATTGATTGATTGATTGATCGATTGTGTTGATTCATTTCGTTAATAAATGAATGATGAAAAATATTTGTGTGTGTACGTTTCCAGTCATTTCACGGGATCGTAATCACAATGCGGAGTGGAAAAATTATTATTATTATTATTATTGTTATTATTATTATTGTTATTATTATTATCCACCATTAAACACGACAAGGCTACTTGTCGGAGTTTTTAAGTATTTATCCGAGGTTTCTACCCGATTCCTTAGGGACAAATACTCGAATTTCGGTGGTGCCACTTATTATAAGATAGCACCACATCAATTCTTGAAAGTCTTCCTGAGTCCATCTTTATTCGATGGGAACGATTTGTCTCCTGAACTCGGCTCCAGTGACTAACATCTTTGGAGTGGCCAGGGTCAGAAGCAGTGAAATTCACGTTCTCGTCGAGCTGCCTCAGGTCGACAGTAGAACAAGATTTTGTTTTTGGTTCTTACTTTGTCTTGTTCTCATTTTTTTGCTCTTTTTAAGCCAACAGCACGTGGCGTTCTCAAACGGTCACCCATCCAAGTTTGCACCACGCCCGATGCTGCTTAACTTCGGTGATCGTACGGGAACCGGTGTGACCAGCACGCTATGGCCGTTGGCTTTTATTATTATTATTATTATTATTATTATTATTATTATCATTATTATTATTATTATTTTAAAGGGAAAATACAAGTCGTGAGAGACAAACAAATTTCATGCTTGCTTGCTTGTGAAAAGTGATTTTTTTTTTTTTTCTATTGAATTAAAAAGTGAATTCCAATATTTTAAATTAATAAAATGTATAAGAGTGAGTAATACGTTTAAAAAAATTTAAATCGTTTAAATTTACACCCTCTCCTCCCCACCCCCCTCATCTCCTCTCCCCCTCCAATTTTTTATCGAATCAAAAAAATAATAAATATTTTGTAACAAAAGAAAAAAAAAAAAAATTTATCCTTGTTTTTATTATTTTTTTTTTTTGCAAAGAACTGGACAGACTATTATTGTATTTGTTCATTTATTATAATTATTATTATTATTATTTTGTGTGTGCGTGTGCGTGTGAGTTTCGTTTTGTAGTTGGTAAGAAAAAAAAAAAAAAAAAAAAAAAAAAAAAAAAAAAGGGGTCAATAATCGTGCGGTCGTAACATCGTGGATGGCAGACGATAAATAATTTTATTGCAAAATACCTACTACTACTACTATATACCCTTCTAACGTTTTTTTTTTCTTTTATATTCTTTCTACGTTTTTGTAGTTTCAAGGTTTTTATTTTTCAATGTAAATTAATTATTTCTATTACAAAAAAAAAAAAAAAAAAAAAATTTTTTTTTCGTATTCGTCGGGTCAAAAAATAATAATAATAATAATAATAATAATCGGAATTTGTGATTTAAAACAAAAAAAAAGAGAGAGAAAATTTAATTTTTATCATATCGTTGTTGGAAAATCGATTTTTCTTTTTTTTCTTTTTTCTTTTTAATAACGTGAAAAAGTATTTTGGATATTTAACATAAATGTTTACATAAAAAACAAGTGAGAAAAATTTAAACTTTAAAAAATTAAATGCCTGGAAGACATTTGCCTGGAATCGTGGAAATGTTTTAAAAAAATGAGATTTCAAAATTTTTTTTCGCCTATAAAAAGTAAATGAAAAAAATAAAAAAATTATTTAAAAAAGGGGTAAAAAGTATAAGAAATCGTTTTTTTTTTTTTTTTTTTTTTTTTTTCTTGTTTGATTTCCCCGGAAACGAAAACGACGGAGAGTGATGGAGGAAAATTATTCGCAAACGAATGATAAAATTAAATAAGTAAATAATAAATAATGACAATCGATTAGTTTGGACGTGAGTGAGTGTGTGCGTGGGTGAGTGCGTCAAATGTGTTATTGCGTTTATTGCCGTGATAAAATAACACGAAACAAAAATAACAAATGTCGGATGATATTTTTCATATCAAGTCGGAAAATTTTTATTATCGATCATCCTTTAGTACGTATTTAAGGTTTTTTTTTAACGGTTACGTAATTTTATATACAAAAACAAAGAAAAATTACAAATGCATTGTAATAATATACATTGTAAAGTATTTAAATTAAAAATTTTGTTTGTTTCCCGGCCCCCCGCTTCCCCCTCCCCCTCTCCCCCCCCCCGGTAAAAGTTGTAAAAATAATGGAATGATTAATTAATTATCGTAATGGATCGTCGGTAAATAAAATAATGTTTTTAAAATAATAAATAAATTATAATTTTTTTTTATTATTTCTCTTTCTCTCTCTTTCCACACAGAGTTTATTCAACATGGCTTATTGCTGTCTCCTTCTACTGGGAGCTTTCATACAAAAAGCAGTCTTTGGAGAACTACGGATATCCGAACAACAGCACATCAAAGACCGATTTTTAAATTTCTTGTTCTACAGATTTATATTCGTTTTTGGAATAATCAACGTTCAATACCTTCACGAAGTTGTTTTCTGGTGCGCTTGGTTTTCCGTTTTGGGTTTTCTAAATCTTCTCACGCAATTGGGAAAAGATCGTTTTGAATATGTGAGTATCAATATAATTTTCTTTACATTTTTCTCCGTGTTTAAACTTTTATATTTAAGGTACTAGATGGAAAAATGTGGAAAATTGTTGTTTTTCCGATTCGTTGAAACGATTTTTTATTTTTAATTACGTTTAAAAAAAAAAAAAAAGGAAAATCCTTGATTCGGATTTTTTTATAATCAACTCTGATTTATTTTTAGCGAGTGAGAGAGAGAGAGAGAGAGAGAGAGAGAGAGAGAGAGAGAGAGAGAGCGATAAGAAAAATTCGTCGATAACAAAAGGAAAAAAATGCAGCGGAAAAATTTGAACGAAAAAATTAATTTTTTATTTGATCAAGTGCAAATGTACCTGAATGGTACCTGAATAGTACATAATCAACTCCATTTAGCCCTAAAATTTTTATTTACATCGCTTTACAAGGAATATATAACTTTATTATGTATTTTGTTGTTGTTGTCGTGGTTGTTGTTGATGTTGTTGTTGTTGTTGTTGTAGCCGTCGGAGTTTATATCATGCATTTAAACTCATCGAAACTTTTTTTTTTTTTTTTCAGCTTACGTTTTCACCTCCGACCACGATTTGGGGTCATTTTAGAATTTTGGGTCTTTTAATCGGAGTTTTTGCTCTCTCCGGTCTCATGATAATTCCCTGCATCGTCGTGGGATATTTTACAGGATTTAACACGTTTGCTTTCATGGCTGCCGAGGTTTGTGAAAGTTTTTTAAATTTTTTTTTAAACGCGTCTTTATTATTTGTTCATTTTACATAATGCGACGTTAATCACGACCGAAAATTTATTTAACCCTAATATATATTTTATTCCATAAAAAAAAAAAAAAAAAAAGACTAATCTGTAAAAATAAAACAGAATTTTTTTTTTTTTTGTCGTTTTTAATTGAAATTTTTAATGACGAAATGAATCAATCGAAAGTGGGTGAGTGTGTGCGTGGGTGGGTGCATTTGAAATTAAACTCCCCCATCCATCCCCTTCCTCCCCGCGATAACCGGAAGGATTAAATTATTAATTTGTTATATTAGTTTTGTTAATATTGAAAAGGGGAAATGCCACGAGTGCGGATTTATTTTTTTTTTTTTTTTAACCCTTGCGGCTTTACAAATAATTTATTAAAAAGGGGAGGGAGGGGGGGCTTAGTAGAAAAATGAAAAGTGATACTTCCCGTACATCGCTCCGTCTTTTTATTTTTTAACACGTTTCGTTGCCCCCCAAAAAAAATTTATGAATTTTTAAAAGAATGTTGTTGTTTTCTCTCTCTCTCTTTTGTGTATTTACACAAAATTATTTACGGCAAATTTTCCGAGAAAATCAATCAATTATTCGAACGATGTGAAAATCACTTAAACAAATAATAATAATAATAATAATGAAAACAGTTTTACAAGGGTTTGGGTTTTTTTTTTCGTTTTTTCTTCATACATCTTGCGTTTATATTTTTACCGTTGGATCGATCCATCGATCGATCGATCGATCGATAAATCGATGGTTAATCGATGATCGTTTCGGTGTTAATATGGCCCTCCAAACAATTATCATCATTTGCAAAAATAAACAAATAAATTATGTTCCTTAGAAATTTATTCGACTTGCATAACACGACGCGAAACACCGAGAAGTGTTCGTCCTTAATTTCGATTGCGAAAAAAAAAAAAAAAAAAAAAAATTATTTTAGCACACGCGCACGCGCACACGCACACGCACACGCATTTATCATGTTGCAATACGTTCAATTTTATTTTGAACCAAAAACGTAACCTTCACCATAGGTTTTTTAGCCCCGAAGAGACTTAAAATGTGGAGGGGTAGGCCTTGCCTTGACTTTGTCGCGAAGGTTTCCCCCCCCCCCCCTTCGACTCCCTTTCTTTAATTTCGTTTTAATATTTACCCCTACGTCATTATTCCTCATTAATTAATCAATTAGTCGGTATTTAAATAATAACAAAAAAAGAAACGATGATGATGATGATGATGAAACGTCGCATTATGTAAAAATGGAAAAAATGGCTTGACAATTATGGCTGTATTCGTTCCATTTTTTTTTTTTTTTGTTCCAGTGCATTCAATTGAGCATACGAGCTTTGCACATCGTATTAAAATACATATTTTACTTGTACGAAATATTAGACACGGAAGCTCGGCCGACATTGAACTGGGAGAAAAAGGGTAGATTCGCATATTATGCCGAATTAATATTCGAACTCTTAATTCTCCTTTTGGATTTCCTTCATCACGTTCACATGTTGATATGGAGCAACATATACCTCTCGATAGCTTCCCTCGTTATTTTCATGCAACTCCGACATTTGTTTCACGAAATACAAAGGCGAATAAGAAAACATCAAAATTATTTATGGGTTTTGAATCACATGGAGAAAAAGTAAGCGTTTTCACCATTTATCAATTATTTATTTGTTTTTAAGGGGGAGGGGAGGGGGCGGGGTATTAATAAGTTATTAAGTTGAGGAGATTATATATATATATATATAAAAAATACGCGCGCTAAATTTTTTTTTTTTTTTTTTTTTTTTCGAATTTGCATAATGAGTTTCTGCGATTGTTTTTTAACCTGATTTCAAATAATAAATATTCGTGAATTATGTATACGTTTGTTTGTTTGTTTGTTGTTTGTTGTTTGTTTTTGAGGAAGGAATACGTGTCCTTGAATGCGACAACTAAAGGTTCGGCGGGACATTGCGTAATAAATAAATTTAATCTCCCATTCAATGTTAACGGAAAAAAAAATTTTTTTCCTAGTTCAGTTAAGTTGTCGGTTGAATAGGTAATAATAATAATAATAATAATAATTTTTTTTTTTTTTTTCAGTTATCCAATGGCTTCGGAAGAAGAACTCATGGCACATAAGGATAATTGCGCCATTTGCTGGGAAGAAATGGACAGCGCACGAAAACTTCCCTGCGGTCATCTTTTTCACAAGTAAGAAATCAATTTTTTTTTTTTTTTTTTTGCTGTTGTTGTTGTCTGTCATCATCATCATCATCATCGTCATCGTCATCACTTTTTGTTTTCAGTTCTTGTTTGCAATCCTGGCTTGAACAAGATACATCATGTCCGACTTGCAGGACGGTTTTAAGCGTACAAACTCGTTTGCTCGACATGTCCGATGGACTCGATCACGGGTTGGACAACAACATGGATAATTTACCTGGAAATTTCCGAGCTCCAAATCATTTTTTTCAATTCGACGGTGAGTTTTGCTCTTTTACAAAAAAAAAATTTTTTTAAATAAAACGTTTTATTATTATTATTATTATTATTATTATTATAAATTTAGGATCGAGGTACGTGTCTTGGTTACCGAGTTTTTCACTCGAAGTCACGCACTTGCATCTGAGTCCTCATCAGGTTCCGGTAATGCAAACCTCTCAAATAGATTTAATGGCACGTCAAGTTCAACAATTATTTCCTCACATCCCGCTTGACGTTCTAATGGACGATCTTCGGCTCAGTCGATCGATAGAGTTGACCGTCGAAAACGTTTTGGACGGACGGGTTACCGTTCCCGAAAGGGAAGACACTCCACCCCCACCGCCACCGCCGTCGCAGCAACAGCCTGTCGCGGAGCAACAGCAAGAATTATTTTCATTGGGAAAAGACAACGTTGCGACCGGTGGCAGTAGTATTAGTTATATTGAAGACACTTCTTCCGATTCAGAAAGGTGAATTAATAAAACATGAATTATTAATTAATTGAAATTTTTTTTACCGCATTCATAATGGATACGAAGGGAGGGGGAGAGGGAGGGAGGAAGGGAGGAAGGGCACCACGTTGCCACGTTTATGGGAAATTTTTTTTTTTTTGATTTGTCCGGTGGCGGAAAGACAGACCCCTTGACATTAGCGATGTTCAAATCGATGGAATAAATTATTAATTTAATATTTTTCGACATTTCCACGAAACGCGTAGGCTCGTATTTTTTTAGGCTTTTCGTCTGCTTCGAACTTTTCTTTACGAAAAGTTTTTTTTAATTTTCTCTCGTACAATTCTATTTTTAAAAAAAGTAGGGAATTAAGGTTGTCCTTAGGGTCAACAAAAAATTGCTCGCTAATCCGTGTGTACGATTACGATTCTTACCAAAAACGTTTGATTATTATTATTATTATTTGATATATGAGATTTTGTTCTGCTTTTTTTTTTTTTTTTAATTTCTAAAAATGAAAATAAAAAATTTCAGCGAATCTACACTGAGTGGAACGTTTTACAATTCACCTGCCGAACGCGAAGGAATATTAAGAAGGAGAAAAGAGAAAATGATAATGGCGGCTCGTAAAAAATATTTCAACAAACACAAATGCAAGGAAAATATTTCGAGAAACAACTCGGAAAGTTAAAGTTAAAAGTTAAAAGTTTTTAAAAAAAGGCATATTATATATAAAAATTAATAAAAATAGGAAAAGAAATTAAAAAGAAAGAAAGAGAAAGAAAGAAACAAAAATTTTGTATAAAATATTAAAAAAAATTTATGAAAAAATTTTATTATTATTATTATTATTATTATCGTATGCGTATTTTCGATCGGGTACGCCTCACATTTTTTTTTTTTTTTAAAGAAAATTTTCCCTGATTTTATTTTATTTTATTTTTTATTACTTTTTTTTTTTTATTTCGTCGTTTTGTAAATTAATTTTTTAATTTGACTGTCTTCTCCCTTCCCCCTCCTCTCCTCTTCCTCTCCCTCCCCTTTTTTTTTATTTTTTATTACTCAGTACCTGAAAAGAAAAGGGAAGAAAAGGGAAAAGAAAATGTTTTCTGTAGAATTAGCGAAGCTTAAAAAGCGGCGAAAACAAACGAAAATTTTATTATTATTATTATTATTATTATTATTATTATTACTAATCGAAATTTTTTTTATACTTATCAATTATTATTATTATTATTATTAATGCGCTTATAAAATGTTTTGTACGCGACGAGCTCTGAACAAACAAAAAAAAAAAAAAAATAATAATAATGACGGTTGTTTTGTCGTGTTAACTCTTACGTGTTGACACATTCGATATAAAATATATATATATATATATATCATATATAATATTATATACTGTATATTTTTTTTTTTTTTTTGTGAATGATTGTTTAAAAGAGAAAGGGAAGATGAGAAGATGAAAAGAAAGAAAGAAAGAAAAAGGGAAAAAATTATTTTTTTATAATTTTTTAAAATGTTTGTATATTTTCTCAGGAAAAGAAAAAAGTGGAAAAGTGTGGGGGGGGGGGGAAATGATAAAATTAAATTAAATGAATTTAAAAAAAAAAAAAAATTTTAATTTATTACAACGAAATACATTTAATGTTAGCTATATAATAATAATAATAATAATAATAATAATAATAATAATAATAATAATAATAAAGCTTTGTTTTTTTTCCCGGATTTTAAAAAAAGAAAAAATTGATGATAATAATAATAAATATAAAGAAACATAAATGTTAATTCGAATACGTATAGAAATTATATGCTTTAAAATAATGTAAAAAAAAAAAAAAAATTTTAATGTTACTACTACTATTTTATAATAATAAGTCATTGTTTTATTATTATTATTATTATTATTTTCGGGTTTTATATGTATGTGTATAAGGCTTTTGAAAACGCTCCTCTGTTACTTTTAACCATTTTACAAGTAGTAATAGTAATGATGATTATAATAATGTTAATTTCGTACTTAATATTTTTATTAAAAAAAAATTTTCTTTCAATTATTTTTAATTTGTATAAGTGTTCTTATGTTTATCTTATGTGTGGACAGTCATGCTAAAAAAGAAAAATTCATTTGCTTAAAATTTGCTCATTTTCGAAAAAAAAATTAATGTTAAATAATAATAATAATAATTTGACGTAGATTTTCGTTAAATCCATTCGATGTATAAATTAAATTAGATAATAATAATAAAAATTTATTTATTGTTTAATAATAATAATAATAATAATTAACGGGAGAAAATAATGGATTGTGATGCGATTAATGTTTTGTATTTATAAATCGTAAAAATATCAAAAAAGGGGATGAAAAAAAAAAAAAAATTATTTCAAAAATTTTGTTACCTTTTCGGTTTATTAATTTTCTCTGTATCGAATAAAATAATAATGATGATAATAATAATGATAATATTTGAATCGAAAGGAAAAACGTAAATCGGTGAAAAAAATTAAATTCGAGATGTAGAAAATTTTTGAATTACGAAATAAAAAAATTTATTTGTATTATAAAAACGAATATTTATAAATGTATCCGTGCTAGCGACGAATCATTATTATTATTATTATTATTATTATTATTATTATCATTATTAATTTTAATTTTTTTTTTAGGGAATAATTATTACGTTCGTTAATTACGATTCTCAAGAGTAGATTGTTTTTTTTTTTTTTTTCGATGTGTTCGTAATGTAAAAAAAAAATTATAATGTAATCATTTCGGTTCGAATGATTGCTACCGATCGATCGATGGATCGATACATCGATAAATCGATAAATCGATTTTTATATTATTTCGTTTACTTATTTTTATAATTTTACTTTCTTTTTTTTTAATTAAAAAAAAAATCGCATCGATAATAAATAAATGCGTAAATTTTTCATTGCATTAAATTATTTTAAAATTTATAATAATGATGATTTATTATTATTATTATTATTATTATTATTATTATTATTATTAAATTTATTTTTTTGTATTTTAAATTATTATTTTCAAAATGGAAAATAATAAATTTAATTTTTTTTTTTATTTAAATTTTCAAATACATAGGAAGAAAGAAAAAGTATGAGAAAGAATTTTTTTTTTTTTTAAAGAAATGTATTTAATTATTATTATTATTATTTTATGTACATTTATGTTAATAGTTCCTGCTTGTTATGATTTATAATAACGAGTTTTTACTATATATATATATATATTTTAAATAAACTACATCATTTTAGAAAAAAAAAATCGTCTGTGTTATGTAGTTTTAGTTTAATAAATAAATAAATAAATAAATAATGTGATGATTTTCATTGTAAATTTTATTCGTGTAATTATTATTATTATTATTATTATTATTATTATTATTATTATTATTATTATTATTATTATTATTATTATTATTATTATTATTAATAAATTTAATAATGTAAATTTTCGATTTCAATTTCTCAATATTTTCCATCGAACGAAAAACGTTAAAAACTGATAATAATTATTATTATTAATGTAAAATAAATTAATAAACGACGACGATAATAATTATTAATAATAATAATAATAATAATAAAATGGTTTTACGTTTTAAATAATTTCGACTCGGTAGTGAAATAATAATAGTAATAATAATGATAATTTTATTAATACGATAAACGTCCTCACGTATTTAAATTAATAATTTTATTTTATTTAAATAAAAAAAAATTTATTATTATTATTATTATTATTATTTATTTGTGAATATTATCTGCGAATCATTAACTTCCGTTAAAAAAAAAAATTATTAATTATTATTATTATTATTATGTTATTAATTAAAAGAAAATTTTATTAATTTATAATTTTGTGCCAAATCATTTATTTATTAATTGATCTCGGTAAAAATAATAATAATAATAATAATTCCTTTACGTATAAATATTTCGAAATTTTTTTTTTGTAAATTTTGTTGTACATAAATAAATAAATTAAATAAAATTAAAAAATAAAGTATTTATTTAAAATAATAATAATAATAATATTATTTTCGTTTTGTGTTTAAAATTTTTTTTTAAAATTTATTAAGTAAAACGTTTTTTTTTTTTTTTTTTTTGTTTTTCTGACGACTTATTTATGTTTTATAAATAAGTAAAAATTTATGTACATAGAAATAAATAGATATATATTAAATAATGATAATAATAGTAATAATAATAAGTTTTATGTACGGAAAATCTATGTAATAAATAAATAAAATAAAATAATGTTGCGTTCTCCTAAAAAAAAAATAAAAAAATTAAATTTATTATTATTATTATTTTTTTTTAAAGGAATCAATATTTATTATTATTATTATTATTATCATTATTATCATTTTAATAAATGGTTGAATGTGAAAAAAAAAAAAAAAAAATCAAACGAAAATTCTAGAAAATTGTTTTTGTTTACGGATTGGGAGGGAGGATACAAATTGAAAATTTCTGTCGTTTCTTACACCCTCAAAATTTCATTTTTCCTTATTATTATCATTATTATTATCATTATTATTAATCATTATTATTATTATTATTATTATTATTATTATTATTATTATTGTAATTATTGATTGAATTACAACGGGTGATTAAACGGCGGCAGTTAAAAAAATTTAAATAAGAAAAGTTGAATGACTTATAATAAGAAGAAGAAGAATAAGAAGGAGAAATGTGTTTGTATGTTTGTTCGTTTGTTTGTTCGTTTGTATATATTTTAATTTGTATTTTTGATAAAAAATTTTTATAAGGTTGCACAATGAAATTTAAAAAAAAAAAAAAAAGGCTTCTTTAATTTATTATTATTATTATTATTCTAACAAACATGATAAACATTTCATTTTCAAATCAGTTTATTCCAGACTGTATTTAAAAAAAAAATATGTACGTTTAATTATTATTATTAACCAAGTTGATTTTTTTTTTTTTTCAGACTCGGATTTCAATAATAATAATAATAATAATAAT